GTGTCTGACTGGTTTCTCTAAAAGGAGGATCACTGGAATCACTGACAAGATCCAACTGAACATGTTGTGTATTTTTCCTCCACCTACATCTGCATGTTTGCTGAATTAATCTCATAAACATGAACACACTTAGTTGACAGTCAGATGACTTTAAATATTTGTGGGATAACTTTGAGCCACTTTTATGTTCAACCAACTTTTTAAAGTCTCTGTTGTCTGTAAATATGGAGAGAAGTTGTTTTGGATTCCTAAATGTTTAAAAACACAAGTATTTCAGGATGTTGTCGACCTGTCTGCACAAAGTTCATTATTGTTATTATACTGGTTTCTACTGAGGGCAGAGTAACACACAAGCTTTTTCTAGTTTTTATTTTTTTAATTGGAACAAAATAAACAGCACAGAGAGTTTCTCATGTTTACAGCTCACATAGATTCAACTCAATGTGTTGTTTTTTCTTTATGGCAGATAAACTGATCCTGATCAAAGAAAACAAGACCTGGGAGGAGGCCTTGGATTACTGCAGAATATTTCACAGGGGACTGGTCTCCATCACTAACCTTCAAGAGCAGGGATGGGTCCAAGACAAAGCCAAGAATGGCTCGAGTCCTTTTGTCTGGCTCGGCCTGCGCTACTCCTGCACTCTGGATCTGTGGTTCTGGATCAATGACAAGGTGGTCTGCTATGAGAAGTGGAGCAGAGAGGGAAAGACTGAAGAGTGTGACGTGGCTGTGGGCATGCAGAGTGGAGAACAGTACGAGTGGGTCAGTCAGAGAGACAATGAGACATATAATTTTGTTTGTTTTAAATAAGATTTCTGATGCGTGTCACTGGCTCTTTTTTTTTTTACTGGCAAAAGTTCAACTAATAGCAAAACAACAAACAAAAAAAACAAACATTGTTGTAACCAGCACAATATTGGCAATATCTGATATTCACTAAAGTAAATATAGTTTCCTTTTGACTGCCTGATTCAGTCATGATGCCTGATTTTTTTGGTGATGACAAAATTCCAGCTAGAAGCAAAAATAAAATCTTTAGCTGTAAATGGCACAACACTGATAAGGTCTGATCTGCACTCAAGTAATATGGTTTATTATTTTCCTCTTGACTGTCGGATTCAGCGATATTATACTTACTTTCTTCATTTCGCTGCTTTACTCTATTATTACACTTTTCTTATTAGACGTCATAAAACAAAGTTAGTTTCAGTTTTCATATTTGCTGTTTATTTTATTTTTATTATCTTTGTAATCTTTTTGTCTTTGTGCACTTATAAACTGGTCTTA